TTTTTAAAAAAAAAAAAAAAAAAAAAAAAGAAATAGAAAAAAAAAGAAAAAAAAGAACTTATTTTTCAAATTCCTAGTATTTTATAATGAGTAGGAAGAAACAAGAAACGTACGCTACACTTTGTAATGTTTATGAATTATTTATTTTAGACCTCTTTCATTGCTGGATATGCACAGCATGAATAGATCTAAACGATTGATCAATTAGCAGCACTAATCATTGTACAAATTACGCTAATGGTTACACGTGAACGCAGTAAAAAATCTATTTTTTAATTTCGAGTTTTTAGTGCAACATATAGTAAACTTTGTCTACTATTTATAGATTCGTAGATGTTAAGATATTATACTTAAAAAATTATTGTTCGTCTTCTTTATATTGTTAACTGCCAATTTATATTTTTAAAAAATGAGTTTTTTTCGATTTTTAATTGCTTTCGCATGCATCAATGCATCTATAATGTTAAAATATTGGGGGAAAAAAAAAGAATAATGAGAAACGTATGTACCATAGCATCGAAATTCGGCTCGAAGTGCTACCATACAATCACTGGTAGGTATAACTTCTTAAAATTCGTTTTATACGTGAATAGAATAAATAATAAATATTTTAAAGTAAAGAAAAATAATAACATCTTTTTTCCCTGGTAAAGATGACGCATGTTATTACATTATTTCTATCGCCAACAGGTACGTAATTAATTCTAATAAAATACAATGAATGAACGAATCATCCATTCATAGGCTACATAGTATTTCTAATATTGCTTGATATAAGCAATGCTCTTTTCGTTGGAAGATCATTTTATCTTATCTGCTTCTTATTTCTTAGTACTATCAAAATCACTATTTTCTTTTGTTTTATACTTTTACCATGTCATTCCTTATACTTATACTTTACTTTGATGTACGTATTAATAAAATATCAATTAATAAAAAAGACTTAAATTTGTTTATAAGAAAAATATAAAATGAATCAAATCAAAATCTTATTAAACAAATTTTTTATAACAAACGACTTTCTATTTGTGCGGATTCATCGAAAATTTATGAATAAGTTAATATTATGAAAAATTAATTTCTTATTTGATAAATAATGTAAATTTATGTAAATACGAAGAATTCTAACTTCAAGTTTTATATGGATAAATTGTAAAGAAGACGCTGCCAGTTATATATTGGCACATGCATTTAAAATATTATTTTAAATTGATCTCTTAATTAATCACGAGCAAAGATTTTTACTCTGTTATACAAAAAATAATTCATATCTAATTATAATTTTAAACCTGATATGAAGATCGACTACAATGATATTTTTAAACATCATCTGTTCGTCATAAATTCTATTATTTTAACTAAATTGTTGTACAGCAAGTATTAACATATGTTAAACGACACAAAGAATAAGGAATTGAGTGCAAACATTTTGTAATAATGAAACAAGAACGATAACTCGTACAATAAGCTCTCGACTTTGTAATGCAAAAAAGCAACCTACCTTAGGGTCTCCATAAACGAAAAAATTTTTCGCAAATTGTAATACATACAAACTATTACAAACAAGAAATTTAAAAACACATGTTAGTTTAATTAAATATGTAAACTTAAGTTTTTATCCAAGATATTCATATTAATTATTTGTAAACTTAAATTTTTTTAAAATTATGCTATGTGTCATTATATATAAATAAAAAAATAATAAAAATAATAATAAAAAAAAAAATAAAAAAAAATACTATTCAAAAGAAATTTAAAGACAAATATAGAGACAAAAAAGTTGGTCCCTTTTTACATTATTTACTTTCAGAAATATTAATTTTAATAAAATTATCATTATATTTAAACCTATATACCTTATAAGAGGTAATACTTTCTCGATGATAATTTTATAAATGACATGACATGACAATCGTACAAACTCAAGATTTCATATGAAATGCATGAAGCATTCTTTAAAAATGAGGCATGTTGCTGAGAAATTGTTATACATAGAGCACATTTAATATAATGAGGGTAGGTGCTACTCCTAGTCGGATACCTCGGTGTCCGGGTCAAGGTCCCGCGTAGGAGTCGATGCATTACTAGCAGATGCCGATTGCGTTCCTGGTCGATGTGTTCTTCGTGGATCAAATGGATCAATTACTATTTGTTCAGTTCCTTTAATTTCAGCTCGACAAAACGGACAACCCTGTCCTTCAGAATCCTACAATTTATATTTATATTATTATAAGATTGTATTTCATTTTTATTCTTTTATATTCATTTATTATATTTTATATCATTTATATTTTTCCGAAATTTTTTTAAAATAAAAGTATTTAATTAAATTTAATTAAATAGTATAATTTAAGAATACATAAATTACATAAATACATAATTAAATTATAATACCTGCCAAGCAGTAAGACATGGAGTACAAAGAAGATGTCCACAAGGTTCTATCCTCACATCTTTGTCATTTTCTGCACAAATTTTACATAATTGGAATGTACTACCCATTTCACAATATAATTCATATTGTTCTGCTGTTACTTTTATATGTTCTTCAGGAGTAGGTTGAACTGCCCATGTTAAGTCTGGATTTATATTACGACCATCAGGATATAAGTAACTGGAAATAAATTATAAATTTTAAAAACTAATAGGTTAATAACTTTTTATATGAAAAAAAAATAGTTTGCTTACAATCCTTCTCTATATCCATCTAGCAATGCTTGACAAAGACTTTTATTGTGAGGTATTGTTTGAAGGATATCGCCATCTGATGTGACATAACCAATAGCCCATTGTCCTAACCTTGTACAACTTAATCTGAATACATAACTTCCAGGTCTAGTACTACAATATTTTTGTAAACGTGCTTTCACTTCATCATAAGTTAGAAAAGCTACATATCCAGGATGTGTTACAGCTAGAATTTTCCAATTACGGAGAAGTGTAGACCATGGTTGGAATAACCTATAAAGATTATTAGATAAGAAAATTTATTATAATTCATTTATTTCATTAATTACATAAAATAATTTCTTTCTATATTTCTTTTTTTAAACTTACCTTGTAAATACATCAAATTCAAAATTAGAAATATAATCATTGCATGTGAGATCTATCGTAGATTTTAATGCCATGGCTTGTAATCCAGAACTTATTGGATGAACTTCGTTCAACTTATCTTTGAATACTTTCCATGGAACCAATGTACTGAAAACAAATATCATAAATCATATTTTATAATAAAATTGCATAAATAATTTTGCTTTAATAAAATGATCATAACCTAAAAATTATGTCATTACGTTATTTTCAGTATACCATATGCATAATTTTTGTTACAGAAAATAATACTTCAATAATAAATAAACATAAAAGTATAAATTATTGATATCATATTTTATAATAAAATATTGAATATATTATATATATATATATACACACACACATACACACACATATTGTTTATATGTGAGTTGATAAACTGTAAATTCATACCAACTCACCAGTGTAAAGACAGAGCTCCTGGAGTGTAGTTCGTTTCCTGTTCGTAATATTTAATTATATATTATTGGTGAGATTTACTTAATTCATTTTATGAACTTTATTAACTTTATTATTATCAAGTAATATAATTATAACAGAAATATTATTCATAAAAAAGAATTAAAATTTAAAATGACTAAGTATTAGATATATAAAATATGACAAGTCATGCAATTCATGATAATATATAAAAGCAATAACCATCCATTATTATTTATTTTAAGTATAAAAATGAACATTTATTATGTTGATATTTTTGAAGTTTCTACTTAATTACTTTATTTTATTTTATATATTATTTTAGAATATAAATGATTAGTTAAAAATACGTAATAAGAGTTAAAAAAATATACTATATAATTATATACAATCAGCATAAATGTATTTGATAATGTACGCCACATAACCTTATCATAAGTTTTACAAAAATATTATTAATTCTTATGATATAATCAAGAGATAAATAGAAAAAATTATTATTTTGTATTGCATATTAGTATTAGTATTAGTATTGAAAATTTCAGGTATAACACGATCGTGTGTTTTTCACTTTACACATATTGCGCAACAAAGAATGAATCTTTTTAAACTACTGCTACCAGTGGGCTTTACTCATGCTATAAGAAATTTTTCAGGCACGTAATATAAATTTAACGAATGTTTTTTCTATTTCGTTATAAATATTAAAAAACGTAATTTGAAATTTTATTATATTTCAATTGTATAATGCATGATAATAATAAAATATAATAAATATAATAAATATAATAAAATATTATAGAAATTGAATTATTTATTTATTTATATTGATTTGATTGATTGTTATTAATTATAAAAACTAATTTAATTATAAAAACTAATGTTAAAAAATTATAATTTTTTATTACTAATGATTGCGTGAAATGTATATAAAATAAATTATATGTAAAATATACATTAGAAATAATAAAAAGAATGTACTAATATTTTGAGACAAAATATTACTGGTTTTGACATATAAAATGTAGTCATTAATTTTTAAATAATTAAGAATTTCTAAAGAATTTATATAGTTCTAATTTATTACAAGTAAAATGCATTTCATATCATCACATTTGTTAAAAT